CATTTTTCTTGTCAGATTATTTTTGGTCATAAAAACTGTAATTATTATTATTATGTATTATTGATTTACTTTCTTCCCCTACATAATCACAAGGCTTCTAATTTTTCTAGTTCAGAAGCAAGCAAATGCTACATATAATTTAAATCATCCTTCACACAAAACGGATCCAAGTGGATGTAAAGGGGTTTTTTTGTTTAAAAGTATTTTTATTTTGTTTGCTTGTTTCTTTTGCCATTGCCTTACATCTTACTTCCAAAATTAGACCACAACAGCAGTTGGAAAGTTGTTCTAGATCAAGAGAAATTGAGACACAAATGATAAATAGAATTAAGCATATGTGCCAGCCTCTCTTATTCCTGGTCAGCAAGGAGACGCGAGGAAGCAGAACAACATTGGATTATGCAGGAACTAAATAAAATGCATAAAATCAGCTATAGAAGGTCAGACCAAAATGCTGGTGTAGCCCAATACTGTCTCTGACAGTCGCCTACAGTGAATACCCAGGAAAGAACGTAAATCCCCAAAGACACTCCCCTCAGGGTTACAACACCTTCAGCAACTTGCAGGTCAAGGACATTCTCAGCCAGGCACTCTGCCTTTGTGCTGATTTTGGGTTAATATTTCTTCCAGGAGTTTACCAATGTCAATTCACAGAAAACTGCAGGAACACTTTTCCACACATCTATGAAGAAACACCCCAACAATTTTTGTCCTGATCCTACCTCTTGGCAGCTTCATCTGACATCTCTAAGTCTGCCATTGGATGAGATGATCAACAGGACCCTGTCCACAGGCTTTATCCCATGCAAAATGTTACGACCTGTGTTGTTTCTCTCCCTTCTCCCCACTGCCCTTTTTCCAACCTGATAAATCCTTCCTCAGATTAGTTGTTTCTCATATGAAGTAACTACATTTGATCATCCCCACTACTGGTATTTAATACATCTGTTCTATTCTCCTGCACCCTTTTTGAGATGCAACACAGAGACCAGCTTATCATATTGAAGATGAAAGTGAACCATGAAACTGTACAGTAGCATAATAATAATTTCCACTTTGTTCTCTGTTCCCATCCTAACATTTTACTTGCTCTTTCAAAAACTACTACGCTGACATTTTAAACAGAACTAGCAGCTATAATTATTTTTTTTCTGAATGATAACTGATAGTTCAAGATTCGATACATATAGAAGTTAATTTAATGTAGAAATATAACTTTTTCCTGCGTTCATATATATTATTCCACATTAATCTATACAGAGTGATAAAACAGCAGATGAAATTCAATAACCTATTACCACCAAGACTTTCTGAAAGAGTTAAGTATCTTCAGCACACTGTAACTTTACTATTTACCCCATCTTTTACATCCTTTATGATCATTTTCTGTAGTTTAGGCCTTAACAGACATCTCTGGTGGCCTTACACCACTGGGAAAACTGACCACCCCTGTTTTTAAAATGTTACAGCAATGACAACAAATATAAACACAGTCAGAAATGCTCATTTATTTCACTATAGTGTGGAAAGATAGTTGTTAAGAACAGGTATCATTGACTAAGAAGAAAGAAGCAGTTGGGGTTTTTTTCTGTTTTGCTTCAGTTTTTTTAATAAATCAATAGACTGGATCTAAGTCCAGGGGCAATGCTGAGCAAGCTGACCAAGTGACAGCTAAATTTTCTCACCAGGAATATATCTAAACAGGAATTCAGTACCTGCTATCCTACTATCTTTGAAGCTGCATCAATTATAGAAATCTTCACTACCCCATCTACTGCAAAATATTTACATTTAATCTCATATCAAACATTAATTGCATACTTGTTAAGAGAGCCCTCTAATTCCAAACCTAAAACCATAAACACATGGGAAAGAAATAAAAACAAGGGTAGAAGAATGAATAATTTATGAGTCAAGGTCCATGCAAATTCCTGGGTTTTAATACAAGTTCCTTCCCCTGTCCTGCAAGAACTAGCAACAGTTTGTTATGCTCACTGTAAGCCACTCTTCAAATCACTAGCAGTTTGAATTAAGATCTTTACTCATACTTTTCTTTTGATGAGATGGGTCCAAGCTCCCTAGTGTGGGGAGCTGTCCAAATAATTGTACTTAAGAAACACTGTCAAGGCATAGAAGCAGTAACATATTTTATATTTCTGGATAAAAAGAAGAAAAGCAGATAAACAGCTGGTAACGTGAGCAACAGACTGGGAGAAAATTAAATTAAAACAAAACCAATCATGTACTTCAGTCAGTTGAGAGAAAACGTCCCTAATAAAACCCAATACATTGACCTGGTCTGGATGCTGCAGTACCACACTCCCACAAAGCAATGGTTCTGGGTAAGGACTGTAGAAATGTTAGCGTAGCTCATAAGCAAAGCAATTAATTCTGAGACCTAACTGCTGATTCCCAGACCTCTTGCTGCACTCTGGAGAAGCTGCCGGGATGGCCATGGGAAAGGGCTAACCAGGGTCCTGCCAGGTGCTCTCATGTCAATCAGTGTCTGGCCACAGAATATTTTTGCTTGAACAAACCAAAAGACACACACAGTTTAAGTTCAAAACTTTTCTTTTTTGTTGAGAAATATTAACTTTACCTAAAAATATGCATTCATGTCTCTATATATGAGAAATGGGTTTTTCCAGGGTTACTTCTGGCTTCTTTACATATTAATTACATTGTTTGGACAATGCAGAACATAATAACAACCACTAACTTAGCAGGCTAAGTGACACACCAATGAGTTTGAAATCAAGCTAATATTGATGCTTCAGCCCTAGCAGAACTTTAGCAAAGCAGATAACAGGAGTAGATCCCATGCTTGAGTGCGTGCTAGATTGAAGTTGTTTGGGCTCTTTTTTTATAAATAAAAAAAAAAAAGAAATAAAGCACTGATGCATAAAATTCCAATTAAAATCATTTTAGTGCTGTCATTTGGCTTATACACAGAGGCAAAGTCTTACATAGCAAGACACAGAACATTTTGCTGGAAGAAGTGTGAAATATCACGTGTTCATTTGCAGTCATGATCATTGCCTTCTTAGTCACTGTACAATGCAATGGAGGTGACTTACAGGAGTTGTTTTTATTGGATCAGCCCTTTGGCACTAGAGAAGTGCAAACAATTTCCCTTTTCACCCAGGCTGATAGTTTTTTGATAAATAGTTTCTTTCAGAAGAGTAGATAGCCTTTGAAGCAGCTATTGCATTTTGCTGAAAAAAAAAAAAAGTAAAGAATAAATAAGAGTGTGACATTGCTTTGTAATAATGGTAGTGGAAAGTGGGCTCTTCTAGTTAAAATAAATACACAGCAAGACAGAGGGGTATTACTTTAAGTTTCTTGAGTCATATAAAGAACTCTTCTGTATCATTTTTCTTTCCACATGTTGTCAGATCTCAAATCCCATAAATAACACATAGATAAGAAATAGCCCCTACCAAATCAAGGGCAATATTCTTTATCACATAAAGCTAGGTATTCTTGGTCATAGTTTCCTTCTGGGACTAACAGTGACCCTGTCAAATAACCAAAATCCAGGTGAGCCAACATGTCTTCAGTCACAGAAATGGAAGAACCAGAATGATGCCTACATGCTGCACTCCAGTCCCTGCTCATTGCTGATTAAGCTTCAGGGATGAGGGAAAGGCAGAACAATTTGTGTGGCTTGCTTAAGCACCACAGGTTTATGACACCTAGACTCCAGCTTTATAAACAGAATGCACAGGGGAGCAGCTCATGTTGTATACTGTCATTTTAAAATGCACGTCAGCTTTCATAAACACTACAGTATCTTTTTAGTTGGCAGGGTTACAATCAAAGCCCAAAAAGAAAAAGAGGCACATGCCAAAAGAACGTTTCCCTTCTCTGACTACTGTAAAACAAATCATCCAAATTATAGAAAGAAGTCAGGATGCTGCACAGCAGAGTTGGAGACATTCAGAAGCATCACTGACAGTTTAGTCACTCAAAGCAATCAGCCAGTAACAGCCTATCAGAGAGATATGTGATGTGGCACTGCTAGATCTAGCAGTTACACAGCAGAAACAAGAGCCAAAAGGCTGAAGTCAACACAGGGCAACCAAAACGTGAAACAAAGGGAAATCTGTATTCCCTTGGAATATTACCACTGTTATTAAATAATGGGAAATATAATTCAGCTAGAGTTCACAATGGTAACATTTATATTTACCACTGCAGAGACTTTATATCAAGACTGACAAATTTCAAGAAAAGAGAAAAAGTACGTTCTAGTTCAGTCAGAAATTATTGGTCTAAAATGAAGGAGTAAGTCAGATTAAATTTATGGCCTGCAACACATAAGACAGAGCAGGTTACTAAAATGGCCCTTCCTGGATGTAATATTTATAGATCTGTGAAAAATGCAGCCATGTCATCTCCTGTACCTTGCTGTAAAAGAATAGTACTGTCAAATCTTTCCAAAAGGAGCACTAACTTAAAGCAGAGAAATCACTGGGCATTTTCTGTCATCAGCAGAAAATGAAGATCCACAAAACTGCTGGTGAATGGGCAGGCAGAGGTCTTATTTATAATTCAGGCATATAAGGAGAAACAAAGCAAAAGGTACATTCTAATATTGCAAATATTCCCTGTTAAATAGTATAAGGGGTTATGCAAAGGTTCATTTTTCCTGTATTAGTGTTACATTTCTATTCAGAATTTTATTAAATACTGGATGACTGCAATTCCTATTTCAGATATATCTAAGTAAGATACAGAGCATATTTTGCTATATGG